CTATACTCGACACATTGGAAGGCTATACACAATCATTGGACGTGACCGATCGTATATCAGACACAGAATATGTCTGAAACTTTGAAAAGGTGATCCCAGATAGAATGTCTTGGTCAATCGAAACTTTAGAGGAAATATCCATAGAAATCCGTTAATACAAGGATGACTCTAGATTAGAAGACAAAGTGGGCCTAGGGACAGAAATAGAAATATACCAATGTTTATTTATTCACAACACCAGCTTTTTGGCAGAAGCGCCAGCAATAACGGAATGCGTAAATTGGATAAGAATAAGTTTATGGCCCACAGTGCTTAACTTATTTATAGATGCCAAAAGGCAATTAGGGCGATATCAGATGATAAAGTTAAATCTATGACCATTGTGGATTGTAATAAAGCTCTAACCGAATACTTTCTCAGAGGTAAGGTTTCCATCATATGGTTTCCAGACCACTCGGGATGGTCGACAATCATAGAATGTAATTGCTTTAAGGGGAACGGAGCTCGATGTAGAACCCAAAACCATTTGACGCTACGAGAGCCTCTTGGAATATTGAAACGGTGGGTATAACCATAATGATCTTATGGGGAGACTCTAACGAGAGTAGATCGAGAAGCCTCCTCAAAATGAGCAAGTCTGAGATTAGTTTGATGGTACGTATTCTGAGTAGACCCAGATGATAACGGACACACCTATACAAAAGTGGACATGCGGCTTCAGACAAATTTTGAGCATGCAAAGAGGACAGTGACACTCAGGAGCACTTTCTTTGTCATTGTCAGGCTTTCGCCGAAACTAGATCCAAATGTCTTGGGAGTGATATTATTCCGGATGTAGTATCCCTCACGATAATACATTCAGTAAATACTAAGTATATAAGGTTTCTATTTTTAACAACAAACATTTTCCATGAAAAGGAGCGCTCAACAGGCCCGATAGTGGACTATTTCTTCGGATTTGATGTAGATACATCATCCTATCAACCTAACCTAATCTTCAGGGTGATGTTCGTAATATGGCTTAAGTCAATTATGGACCGAACTCCTTTGAATTAACAAAATATTAATTTCATCGCTCTACTAATATTTTCAATTCAGTCATAAGCGTAAAAGAAATTGTCTGAAGGGGACCTTATATGCGTTTATGGTCAATTATGACGCGATACTTGTCGCTATACTCGTATTTTTAAATAAGGAAAACTAACATTTAAATAAGAAAAACCATTTCCTGAAGAAAACCTTATTTAGTGGCTAGGGTTAGTTATAGACCAATCCTCATTAAATTCGGAATAAAGAATTATGTTTCTAAGTATAAACTTTTATGTCGATTTTCATCGCCGTGCTCGTAATTTTCTACGAGTATATATAATATTTATAGTACTTTATATAAGAGGTAGGGTCACTTATTGACCATTCTTCATAACATTTTGTAGACTGATTTTGGTTCATATAAAAACTTGTTGGGTTGGACACATTCACATTCCACATGACACGACACATTCCCCGTTAAATTCGGTAGGAAGATTTACTTCCCTATAAAAGTTTCCTATGTCGAATTTCATAACTGTACACATATTTTTTAGGCCAGCAATGATCGTTAAAGTTATTTTCTGAAGAGGACTTTATATGGGGGATAGAGTCAATTATGGACCGATCCACATAAAATGTAGTAGAGAGATTTTGGCTCTCAAGAAACTTACTTGTGTCGAATTTCTTAGCTATACTCGTACCTACTTTTAAAACAGTTATGCCCGGGGTACACTTGTATGGGGGCTATCCGAAAACGTGAACCGATATTTCCCATTTTCAATACCAAACAAACTATAGGGAATATTTGTGGACCTTTTTTTCTCTGTGAACATTATTGGTGTACATGTTCCGTTTAGTAGTCCAATTTAATGCAGGCATGGATCATGTTTATTTCTTTTAAAACAATATGGTCCATAGCCTGCACTACACACTACATTTAATATTGTGATGTTCTAGGTGAGGACTACGTTACATCACTTCATTAAAAAAATAGTAAAATGTCATAAAATATTTAAAGCCATTTTTCTTTTTCTGATTTATGCCATTCTTGCGTTATGTAATGACCAGGGCAACCGAAAATAAGCAATATAATATTTTTTGCTGAACGTCCTATGGACACGTGAGATATGTATTTATCCATTTCAGACAATTTAACGAATTTAATTATCGATTTGTGGCCTCCGGTATGTTAGTGGTTAGTATTCTAGTCAGGTAGACCGGGTGTGGTGGGTTTGATTCCCACCTGAGACACTGGTTAAGGAACGTACAACAGGCCAGCCCGATAAGGCCTAGTGTATTGTCGGATGTAAGGAACAAGAACAACTCAAACTAACAAACGAACGAACGAACTAAAAAAGAACAACTAAGAACGGAAACGAACTAACGAACGAACGAAGAACAAAAACAACTAACGAACGAAGAACAACGAACGAACGAACGAAAACGAACGAACGAACGAAACGAACGAACGAACGAAGAACGAACGAACGAAACGAACGAACGAACGAAAACGAACGAACGAACGAACGAACGAACGAACGAACGAACGAACGAACGAAGAACGAACGACAACGAACGAAAACGAACGACGAAGAACGAACGAAGAACGAACGAACGAACGAACGAACTAACGAACGAACGAAGAACGAACGAACGAAACGAACGAACGAACGAAACGAACGAACGAACGAACGAACGAACGAACGAACGAAAGAACGAACGAAACGAACGAACGAAGAACGAACTAACGAACGAACAACGAACGAACGAAACTAACTAACGAACTAACTAACGAACAAAAACTAACTAACTAACAAAACTAACTAAAACTAACTAACTAACTAACTAACTAACTAACTAACACAACACTAACGAACACAACTAACTAACTAACTACTAACTAACTAACTACTAACTAACTAACTAACTAAAACTAACTAACTAACTAACTAACTAACTAACTAACTAACTAACTACTAACTAACTAACTAACTAACTAACTAGCTAACTAACTAACTAACTAACTAACTATTTCCACATATCTTACTCATAACCGTATATTTGTATTGCATATTTCGTTACTTACACCTAATTTTTTATAATTTGGTTTTTAAATACAAATAGGTATTTTTTCAAATTAATAGAAAATGTTTTTTTATTTTTTTTTGCTTTTAATTTTTATTCGCTTTTTTAGAAATTTTAATTTAAAAAAAAATAAATGAAAGGATTTTAAAGCAGTCGTAAATTTTTTTAAATAAATCATTCGATTTTCTAATACTTAATTATTTCTTGTTTAATTGTTGTTGCAATTGAATTAAATAAATGTATTTACATTTTAACTAAAATTTTATTTTATAATTCAATAAAATTTTTTGTCTTTTAAATATAAAAATGCTTCTTTTAGAAATTAAATCAATGTAAAACAAAATAATTAAGCTTCTAAATCCTTTCTTAGAAAATTACACAGGCCAACAGAATTTGAAAAAAGTCGAAACCCAGAGACCAAAGTTTACTTTTCTGAAGGATTGAGCATCGCTTAATACGAATCCAATTTCTTCATCACAAAATTTTTTTGAGATAATGGTTGTTTCTTAATGTTGCTCATATTGATTTAGGTTGATAACGATTCATTATTTCACCTGGCCCCATACAACAGGACCCCCATATTGAGCTTTGGAGCTCATAATTATGCTAAATGTACTATTACAAAAATAGGCACAACCATATTTTATATGAGCATAAATGATACTGCAAAATTTGGTAATGATTGGCCCTTTTTTGACCCTAGCCCCCTTACAAGGTCCTCCTCTGAAATTGCAATGAACGTAGTTAATTACCTTATAAACACTTGTATATCGATGAATGAAACTCATTACTTTTATATCAACAAAAATCCACCTCCAAATTTTTTTTAGGATCGGTTCATATTTGAATCTAGCCTCCATATAAATACATATATCCTCTTTCAGAAAATCAGTTTTTCATCAAAAATATATCAAAATTAAGCCAAAATTCAATATAAATGCTTTATTATTAAAAATAATGCACATTTTAGTTACACTCATAACTGGTGATATGACTATGGTACCCTATATCATATGTATGATCGGCCTCCCCCGATTTTATGTACTTTCTTGCTTGTTTCGGATTAAATTTTTGGAAAACTATTTCAAAAGGTGCGTTTTTAGTAATGTTAGGATCGATTGATTGAATTTCTTAATTTCATCAGCATTGCATTTCTTTCTGTGGGAAGATATTGCAAATAATAAACAGGTTATTTTTAGCCTTAACTTTGCCATCATTCATAATATCCATAATTTAATTGCATTCTAGACTCTCTGGATTCACAATGTTTTACATGTTTGTTTAATAAATAGAAGTTACAATTCATTTGAATTGATTTCTCATTTAAATTTACAACATTAACATTTATAGTTTGATAAGAAGTAATAAAATTTTGCTATGTTCATAAGTATGTGTGTATGTATTTTGTTTGTTTTGTTTACAAAATTTGCTCGAATTGTATGATTCTACCAAAATTGTTATATTTCTCTTGTGATATAAAATTCTTATTGAATGTTAAATAACATTTAACCAAACAGCAAAGTAAAACAAGAATAAAGTATTGCATACTTTTAGACAGTGTTATTTTAAAATACTAACATTGCTAATAATGTTAATTTTAGTGTAATTTAACATTTATGCACTATGTTAACTAAAAGCAAACATATTTACTCTCATTTTATCACAAATAAGAGAAAATAAGAGAACTCATTTATAAAATAGCATTGCCAGATGGAAAAAATATACAAATATTTTTCATAAAAATGCCAAATATTCTCTCATCTAACTCTCTTTGAAGTATAAACTCTCATTTTTGTTAACATTGCGCTCTTTTAATGTTGATTCAATGAAAATAGCTTGTCTGGCTGACTGCCTGGTTGCCGCTTGATAACTTTTATAACAAACGTCAGTTGTTTTGTAAACACCGGTCGTGTTGGTTGAATGATAAAACGAGAAATAGAATTCGTGCGATTCAGTGGTGCTTAAAATTTAGTTTCATTTGAATTATACTTGAGATGGAGTGATTGTTGAAAATACTTCACTACCTACAACAACAAGACTCACGAACGAAAAACGTGCGCGTCTTAAGCAACAACTACAAACTCATGTATGAAGAAAAAATAGTTTTAATAAGAATTTCAATTTGTTTTGTATAGATGTTGTAGTTAAAATAAGAATTGTAAGCATTTAGAAAAAAATGCACTTTTACTCCAATTTTAAATAAAAAAGCAAATTGAATTGATGAAAACTGCATGCGGTGTAGAGTTCATTTAAGTGCATGCACAAGCAATTTTTTTAGTTTGATTTTAATTAAATAAAATACAAAATAATAATATTTTATTACAATTACAACTATACAAGTGTATGAGTGGATAACAAAGTAAAAAAAAAACAAAAAAGGAAAATATTAATAAAATTTAATAAAAAATTATTAAATTAATGTGCTTTACAACAAAACAAAAAACGAGAAAAAAATTACAATAATAAATAACGAAACAAACAAATAAACAAAAAAAGTCTAGTGGAATAAAAAGGTAAAAAAATTCAACTAATAAATACTAATGTTAATATGAGTGAGTGTGTTACTTTTTTGTTTGTATATGTGTATAGAAAAATGCACAATAAGTGCATTCGTGTGTGTATGTGTGAGTGCTAAATATTTAAATAGTGCATTTAATAATAAGGCGTGCTGCTGTTGCTGCTGCATGCTGTTGCACACACAGCCATCCATCCATACACCGTCGTCAGTCCGCCACTCAGTCATTCTATTTTTATAAGCGATCTTGAGTAACCGGTTTTCATTTTGTATATTTGTTTTCTACTTTTCCTTCTCCTCCTCCACCATCTTCTGCTTCCCTTTAAACAAAAAACAGATAAAACAACAATAATAAAGCTGGACCAGTCTCTGTTTTTACCTCTCTTCTCTATAACATTTTATTTACCAGCATTTAGTTGTGATGTTTGAATAATAAAATAAAAAAATAAAAATAATAAAAAACAAACCGAGATCATTTGTTGATTTTCTAGTGTTTGAATACTGGTTTGTTGTAGCTGTCCGTCTGTCTGTTGTCGTTGCTGCTGTTGTTCGTTCCTGTTGCTGCGGTATTTAAAACCAGTTTCATCTATTAATTGTTTGTAACTATTGTGCAATTGCAAAATTTCATTTACTTTAACCAAAAATATTTTACTAGTATTTTTGTACCTATTAAATGGAGATTTAACCCTAAACGGAGCGCATAATAATTTTAGTTTCAAAATAATTTCAAATTGAATATTGTCATTAGTTATGTTCTGAACTCGAAAGAAGAAATTAGAAATACCATGTCAGCCAGCAACTACAAAAAGTTTGCTCGATTTTACATAGATCAGCATAAAAAAATCATATATTTATTAAACTTACTGCAGCTCGAGGTTACGGAACCTTATTAATATTCTAAACTTAAGTAACTTATATAGGTATGTAGTAATAACTTTTACTTTTCTGTGGTTAATAATGATCCCCATCGGATTTAAGTAATCCTTCAATTCCTCCTTGATTTCAAAATAGCAAGTTTAAACACTGCATTTTAAAATTTTAGACAGGGTTTTCAGCTTAATTACAATTGGAACATCTGTCGACAAACCACAAAAAAAAGAGCGAGCGACGAATTAAAATTAAGCGACTGTCGACAGACCATATTTTCCGACGTTTATTAGAAAAAATCAAAGCAAAATTATGTTTTAGTTTAAAATTAGAATTATTTTTAAGAAATAAATAGGAATGGTTAAAAAATTATTCAGAATAAAATAAAACAAACAAAACATTATGTTTTCGCATTTTAATGTATATTATGCGCATTATAACAACCCTGTTAGAAATAGAATCTATCTCAACCACAATATCGCCAACTGGGATATTGTAGTTGCCAATCTAAAATTTGGAGCCTTTAACGATCATATATTAAATTTGTGCAGAAATCTTGGCCATGCTGTTACGCTTCTGGATTTCATGCTTTCATTGCAAGATCGCATAATGGTCTGATTTTAACAGTTTGCTTCTCTATATCTGACAGTCCAAGGTTTGTTCATAAATCCATTGGAAAAGGTGAAGTACGATTGGTTGGACATTTAAAAATATCGGGAGTATGATGAACACATTCTGAGCATTCATCAGGGACGATATGGTCTAAGCGTGTTAAGTAGGCCTGTTGCTCCATCCTCTCATCACTTTTTCGGATAGGTACCTATATAGTTTATTTCTTTTTAGTAGAATTGCTATTTTCAGATCGATTAAGAATTTAAATTTGAAGGTGCGATTGTTGAGTCATTTTCTATATATGGGTTTTCATTAAGAATGCAGCATTTTTGGTAATTTCTTAATTAGGGGTGAAATTGACTTCGAAATACGATCACAATTCAAAACGTCATATAGGTAATAACTGAAAGATGGAGACTTCAAAAATGTTTGCAAAATAAAATAAAATTTTTGTCTAAATATGATGATAATATATACTACAGAACATTTTTAAAATCACTTTTTCAAAGTTTTCTTAAATATATTGAGCAAGAAATTCAAAGAAAGAAATTTCGTAATCTTTATTCTGTTAATATGAATTAATCTTTAGTTAACACTGTATTTCTTTCAAAGAATAATTTTCAGAAAGTTACGTACTAAAACAATTAAAATATTTACTTAAAAATTTCATCAAAATCGAGTAAATACCTACGTACATACATATGTATCAATGAGTATTTAATTTCTAATCTATAAGTTTTAAACATTAAAAAAAATTAAACTGGTCTTAATTTAAATAATTTTTTGCAAGTCTCCACTTCCGATTCAAATACATACAATACCAACTCCTAAACTTGTTTGGCAGCTCTAATTGTTGTTTTTTTCTTATTATTTCTTAAATGGTTAAGCCAAACAAAAAAACTTAATAATTTAGATAAAATTTAAGCACATTTTCTTTATATCATACATTTTTTCTTTTGTCTTAATTTCTTGCATTCCCTTTATCTCTGGGGTTTACAATGCAAAGATTTAAACCAAAAACAAATAAAAAAAATATGTTCAAGAACCAAAATAAAACCAAAACGAAGAGGAAGAGAAGAAAAAGGCAAAAATTAACAAGAAGAGGAAAAGAACTCTTGATTTATGCCTGATGTTAAATTGGTAGTTATCCAATAAGCGAAGACAACAACAACAACATCAATTTAAAAACAAACAGGCAACAATAACAAGTAGTGATAGTTTTTTTTTCTCCTTAATTCTTCTTTGTATTTCAAATTCTGAAACTGACAACTGCATGCGAATAAACGACCAAACAACCAAAAAAAACACAAGCATGAACTGCAAAATACCTAAAAGTACAAAGTAACCAAAACCATTCAATATACAGCCAGTTAAACTACTCGGAGTTGTTCAAATAACCAACAAGAAAGGCGAAATGTCATACATACATACAGTGTCTCTCATAAGTATTCGAATTTAATGTATTATGAAAACAGACATCATTTTATAATAGATTTTGTGGGAAAAATAAATAAATAAATTTATTATGTTGTCCAGACAGTCCTTAAATTTTATACCACATTTTAAAAATTTAAAAAAAAAATAATTTACTTAAACTAATTTAACTTTTTTTAAAAAAAGTGCAAAAAATAGCTTCACAAAAGTATTCGAATTTTTTGTATAAATCATATTTAGTTTAGCATTATGAAGTAAAAATAAATAATTAAAATGAAATTAATGTTTTGTATAGTAGCCTTTGTGTTTAAAAACAACTTCCAAGCGTCGTGGGACCGTTTCTACCAATTTATGGAATAGTTCTGGCGTTATTATGTCCCATTCTTCATGCAAAGCAACCGTATGGTGGTTTTAGAGGATAATGAGTGATTTAAAAGTTGTTCTTGTAAATATAACCACAAATTTTCAATGGAGTTTAAGTCCAGACATTAACGCCATTGAAAATTTGGTGAAAGAAGATACTTAGTGTTGTAAATGATCAACATTTTCACGTACCAGGTCGTGTATTTTGGATCGTTTTTCTGTTGAAAAATAAATTGAATGGGTTGTAGCCCCATTTTGGTGGTACTAGCATGCAAATTCTGCTCTAAAATTGACAAGTGGACCTTCTAGTCTATAATTACAATAATAAATTTTAGCAGTCCAAACCGTGGACGGACACAGAACCCCAAAATATGGCGAAGCATCTTGGGTCCTTTACAGTTGGTTTTAAGTTAGATAATTCCAAGGCATCTCCAAGCTTTCGCCATATCATTTGACGACCATCTGAGACAAAAATATTATATTTGTTCTAATCGTCGAAGATAACCTCCTTCCAGAAACCAATATTCTTACTTATGAGTCTATTTGCGGAGTCAAGACACTTAACATCGATTAACTTCGATATGAGCGGTTTCCACCTTGGTACTTGACCATGCAAATTATTGCTCCTTAGTACTTTGCGCACAATTTCGACACTAATTTTTATTCACAGAACTGTCCTGAGTTCGTTGTTAATTTTTGGAGCTGATAGATGAAGGTTCCTTCGGTATTTCCTCAGTATTTCTCTGTCGTCCTGTATTGACAGCAGTTTTGGACGACTTGATAATGGTAAATACTCGATGGAATTCTTTGTTCCATGCGTGTAATGACAAAATATATTGTCGATGGGAACCTATTAAACATTTCCTATATGTATTTAATTGATCGGCCTTGATTATACAGATATAAATTATTTTTTTAATTTGAATTGATCAACTCTTTTTCTTTGAACATTTTAAGGGCTTACACAGGAAGGATTTACAACATAATTATGCAAATTTCCAAAAAATATAATGTTAAATATTCCATATAACCACTACCTGCATAATGGGTTAATTAATGGGCAATAAAACACGTGTTCAAGGATTCTAAAAAAGTTCTTAGGAAAAATTCGAATATTTTTGCGCAGTACCTGAAATGACCCTTTTTGGGTTTTTTCCATTTTCTTGGAAACCATTAATGAGTTTTTATTACTTTTTTCTTGTATTTCGTAAAAATAATATAAATTAATAAAATTTCATTAAAAAATTTTAAATACTATTATTATTTTTAAAGTAGCATCATAAAATAACACAGTAATTCATAAAAAATAATAAATTCGAATATTTATGTGAGACACTGTATATAATTTTTGGACACACTTAGGTAGAGGCTGTACTCTCGTGCTGCAAGCTGCTCAAAAGATTTTACTCGCACTCTTATATTAACATAAAGAAATCCTTAAACTCATGTTTTATTCCATTAATTTATACGAATTTCTTTACTTTTGAAAAATAAATTCTCCAAAAAGTGGAAAAAAATAACAAAGCAAGTGCATTTTCTTGATTCTCGCCTTCAAACACAAACAAACAAAAAAATACAACACACAAACAAACAAACAGACATACTTATGAAAAACAACAACCATTCCCTTGTTGTAAACGAGTAATATTTAATAATTCCAGATATTTTTGTTGCTGTTATCATAATTTTATTTTTATCTCTCCCTCTCTTTCAATTTTTTTTTTACTTTTAGTGATTCATCATTGATATTTCATGAACAAAAAACAAACAAAGGAAAGAAAATTAAACTCAGTTGAATTTAACTGAACAAAATAATAAAAAAAAGTAATAATATTAAATAACAAGAAGAAGAATTCGAATTCCAAACAGAATCTGAAACAGAGCTAAGAAAGAAAACAAAACAAGCGCAAAGAGTAGAAGGTAAACAAATAAAAAGTGTAATAAAATACATTAAGAAAAGTGTAGAATTATCAAGTGTAACAACTGAAACAAAGTGAACAAAATAACAAAATAATTTTATTAAAAATAAAAAAAACAACATTTTGCTGTGGATTAAATTACATTAAAAAATAAGAAGTAAAAACCCGCAACAAACCTTTAGAATCAAACAAATTCAATCTACTCCTGGTTATTTGATAGTGACTGTTGGTGTCGTGTCCAACGTGTGTATTGGATTATAATTTTGGATATCAACGTAAAATAATACTTAAAGCTAAATATACTCCAACATATTTAAGGTAAGTTCAGAGTCATTGGAAAAGATTGAGGTCGCCTTAATAAAATGTTTATAATAAATATTTAATGCTTTTTGATTTTGTTTATTTGTTTTGTTTTTATTATTTCAAGAGTCAATTATTAATGCAGCTTTTTTTTTTGTTATTTCGAAATCATCTTTTTAATTCCCAACTGGTTCCAATTTAATTTTTTATGCACATTGACATTTTGTTTCGGTTGTTAGGTCGTGCTGTTATTGTTGTTATTGCTGCTTGTATCTTAGATTAAGTAGAAAGAAGTTTTTGAAAGCAATATTTTGTGAACTTTAAATAAAATAAATAAGTTATTAATATTTATTGATACAGTCAAAACCGTTTATAATGGAAATAGTTTCCAAAATATCGGGACTTGAAAAATTGTTCGTAATAACATAGAATTCGTTATAACCGAGTTCGTTATAAGCGAGTTTGACTGTATTATGTATTCTTATCTGTTTTAAATTATTTATAATAATTTAATTTATCATTTGATTATGCAGATGAAATAATGAATACTGATGATTTTAATAAACTAAAATCCAGTTCTTGGACACATTGAGAGTACAAACTATTACGATTAAAGAGTTTAAAAATTGAGTTTTGAAATTATATCATAAAAATCTCGATCTGTATGTACTATATGTATGTCGCATCAATTGAACCAACATTGGGTTTATCTATAACTGAAATATAAGAGATTTTGAACTATGTATAGACGGTTGCTATGTATAGACGGTTGCTATGTATAGACGGTTGCCAGAACTTACAATGTTGTCATATCTGGTAATGTACAGGCAATGAAAAACTGTTAGCTACAGGTAAATTGTCAGTTCAGACGATTGTAAGAAAAACAAAACAAAATTGTCAATTCACACAACAATGTGACAAAAATTGCCAGATCCTATTTTGGCTGTATATGTATCAATTTTTCTGGCAATGGTACCAAAGTGTTTACACTATTGTCAGATATGTGAAAAAACTATTGGTTTGCTATGTACTGACCACGATTTGTGTGACAGCGTTATTGTCATTTTCTGAACATTTCTCTGGCAACATTGTAACATCTCATAATGGTGGCAACATATGGATTCTATACTGAAAGAATTGTTAGTTTTTGTGATCCTGAATGAATCGAACCAATTTTCGATAACTAGGTTTGAAGTGAAGCGTATTGTAGTAAGAACGTTCAGCATCGATCGCAACAAATAGTAGTCGGAATAGTCAAAGACTGAACAATGAAGTGGAAGTGGTCAAACTTACTAACCACTCTTTTTAAAAATGGCGCGATTTCAGCAGCATATAATAGACCCTTCAAGTCCAACCAAAGAGATTATGAATATCTCTTTGGTTGCACTTGGGGTTATGATAATGGATCCATTTTTTATATGTTTTTTATGGCTTTCAATAAGACATGCAAATCGGCAAATCGTCTTCCTCTCGGCTTCAACTCCTAGCTTTTGTATGAATCCTGTTGCTCGCAAAAATGTTCATCACTTCTAAAACACACAAACTATTTCTCTTTCGTAAACGATCGAACGTGTTGAAGAAGTTCACACTATTTTGTCCAATAGGAAATAATGGCAAAAGTTCAGCCTACAAAATGTCATATGGACTCTGTTTTGTTAATGTTCGATATTACTTTTGTGTGTTTGGAGATGTTCGATATTCCTTTTGTTATATGACTTGATATATTAATGATGCGAGAAATATGAATTTCCCCCGGAAATGTTTGCTACTATCAACATGGTGATTGTACTTGTACGGTCAACGTACATATGTACATTAGGTGTCCCGTGGACCACTTTTTTGTATGAATACCTCTCGTATTAATGTACTAAAAACGAGAAAAATAATTGTTTTGAAAGGGTCTCAGTTCCCTAGTGGTTGAAAATCTTGAACTCAGTAAAATATGAACATTTTTCTTTGTAATCCTTTCGATATACATAGGTCTCATATACATTATTGTACATATTATATACATGCTAAACTAAGCTTTCATCAGAAAAAAGCATTACGTTTTGGCATTAGCGAAAATTCATTCATCATAAATGATGAAAACAATGAAAATTGCAAAATATTACAAAAGACAATAGAATTATTCAAATGCATGTAGCTTAGTAGCTTAATTAGTAACAATAGAAATTATTAAATACAATTTGTTAAATAACGTTCAAAATTTTTTTTGGAAATTTTGTTGAACCAACTTTTTTTCTAGTTTTCTATTGTGATATAATTTTAATTGTGAATAAAAAATAAGCTGAAAAATTAAATTTGTTTACAACTTATGAAAGTTGCTTTAAGTATGGATATTAAATATTATGAAAATTTAAGTAAAATGAAAACGAAAGTTAGTTAACTAAATTTTATTTTATTATAAAAAATTGTTATCAAACATTTTACTACTACTGAGGATAGTTAAACTTCATTTCTGTGTGTGTGTATGTATTTTCTTCAATTTTCCGTAAAAGTTTTCAATTTCTGTTAGAATACAAAAATCTGTTTATATTTGATAACACCACAACACTTTAAAACTGTGACTCCTAAAACTTTTTTTATTGGTACAAATTAAATGCAAAATAAACTGTATTTTTTTAAGTATTTATTTCCAAACTTTTCAAATTATGGTTTTGCTTTTGAGTTTTTAAAGAAAAAGTACAGAGTTTAACAAGAAATTGTATTTTTTTAAACTTTTTTAATACTCATACCTGCAACATTTAGATATGTATGTACAATGTATGTACTTGGATGAGGATTGATGCCTTACATTTGAATAATGTCATATAAAATATTTATTGAGTACAAGTACATACAAGTGGTATGTATGTAGTAACTGAAGGATTGTATGTTTGTTCTACTTATCCTGAATATATATAGAACATATTTTAATTTTATTTTCAGGGTTTGTCTTTTAAAAGACAAACTAAACTTATCGCCCTCTTTTAATATTAAATATAATATTGAACATGTAGTAAGTAATTTGTTCGTGAAGGGGGGATTAAGGGGGTGGTGAGGGAAGAGTAATATAGAGTTTCATTTTAATGATGATTTACAAAATATATTTTAGCAGACGTATACACACAAACTAATCTTCAACTTAATCTTACACAAATCAAACAACCATTCATCCATCCATCCAACCATCGAACCATTAATAAATATTATTGAACTTAAAAAAACACACACTACATAATGTTTGAATTACTTTCCCTTTCTTCTAAGCTTCCTTCCTCTCCCTTTATGTTTTTTTTAATCCAAATGATGATGAAGTTTTCATAAAATATTCAAAATATACATAAAATTTGATTTAAAATCTATAAGAAAAAAACTCATATTATTTTATAGAAAAGAAAACAAAAACCACATACAAATATTTAAAATATATTAAACAAGGGAAGGAAACAAACAAAAAAAAATATATAGAATACGCATATAAATAGTAAAAATAATATCAACAAAAAAAATTTATATAAATATAGTAACAACAACAACAACAGAATCTAAAAGATAATACGAAATAATATTAAAAAAAACCGGCATATAGAAATAATCAATCAATGTCAATGTTTAATATTAATAGACCAGAAATGTTGTTTTATTGCTCAAATATGGTAAAACGAAATGAAAAATCGAAAAACATGAATAAAAATTATAAAGATTTTAATCTTGTCGAGGACTACACAACAACTACAATATAAATGTGATTTAAGGGCTTAACTTAGTTTAGGCTGGTGTTGGTGGAACAAATTAGAAAGATGAAAAATAACAAAACAACAACAACAACATTTTGAATACTGATTAGATTTTGAGAAATGACGAAACAAATAAATATTTCATTTAATTAACATGTACGAAGTATGTACTTATATCTGGAGCCATTTAAACGTATCTGTTATTAAATAAATTTGTTTAATGATACAAATAATAATTCAAAGTGTATTATAATTAACTCATTTAAATGTATGTTATAAGTAATAAAAATTACACTAAATTACAGATCAAAATATTTTGATTAATTGTATGTAGTTAAACTTTGTTTTAAGGTTAGGGAAATGTTTTAAGGGTAGGGAAATGTTTCCGTTTATATCTGTAATACGTATAATTTTTTTCATCTGCCCTTTTAACAGACAGGAAATTGACAGAAGGAGGCATGTTAACATTTTCCTTTTCCCTGATATAGGCATTTTGTGACATAAACATTAAGCAATTAAACTTTTAACTTGCACGTGTTTGTTCATTGGATTTAAAATTTAACATTTTTTACTTAATACTGAGAAATAGGTAAGAATCTAAATCAAATCGGACAGCGGTTGTGTTTAACTTTATTTTACATTTTAAATATTAAAAAATGTTAAATTTGTTATGTTATCTGTTAAATTTTTTGATAATATAATCGCCCCTATTTTTAGGAATCCACTGAACATATTCACGCGCCATATTGATAAATTATTCTTATTTTATTTCTAACTGTAAATAGCATTTTGGTATTTTAGATCTAATTATTATATTATTATAAAATAGATTTAAAGAAAACATAGATTCTAGTAAATAACACTGGCCGTCAATATTTGAAAAAAGTGGAACCTTTGAGAAACTTTTCTAAAGGATTGAGCCATGCTGAATCCGAATCTGGCCTTCGCCCTAATTGGGACATTATAACAGCGCCAAGAAGACTTTATTTATACAATGTTGTATACCTTCTAGAAGTCTATTCTTTCAGCTATAAAATAAAGGCTTAACATCTGATATATCATCTTTTTTCTGTGTGATATCTTTACCTAAAGCTTGAAAACTCATGGTTTTCGATATATTAATGGTATTTATATTCTACACTGCTATAGTGGGGAGGGTATTATGCTTTGCAAAAATTTTGTTTATAACGAACAAAAGTATTGGATCCATACCTGCTTGAAGATGTTCCAATTGACTCAAAATCCCTTTTAGATTCGATTTAACTATGTCTGTCCGTCCATCAACCATTTCATTTT